AAAAGATTGTGGCACGGAAACCGTAGTGTTGAAGCAGCTCCAAATTACTTCTCGACTGACACTGTCGGACGTCTTTTCAAAATCTGTGAAGTCGAAGTAACGTAGGGAGATGGATGCCATTCTATGCTGATGCGTAGTGTAGCATTGCAATTCGATGCGCACATGATTTGTTCTTCCTGAAGCCAGCCTGTTTCGGTCGCAATTTTCAATCTAGAGCATCTGTCAGTCTCTCCAGGATGAAACGGCTTCATATTTTGCTTGCGGTGGACGCAGTATGATTCCACACCTGTTCTTTCAATGACTTAGGCCGCCCTTCTTTGGGAGTTTGACAAGGCAGCTCTTCTTCCAGTCGATCAGCAGGTACCTTTCCTTCCTTTCTTCCCAACCTTCTGCAATGGTGGTGTGAGCATGTTCGCTGATGTCTCTGCGTCTGTTTTCAGAGCTTCATGAGGAACCCCATCTAGTCTTGCTGTCTTTCCATCTTTCAACAACTTTATGGCGTTCGGGACTTCACTCCTGCTTTTGTTGGACGGTCTATGTTCACTGACACTTCTGTGGTTGGACTGCTGATGGCATTTGTTGACGAGTTGCAACTGGTGGTGGTCGAATCAAGAGTTTTTTGAAGTGGTCAGCCCTTTGTTCCTCCTCTTTGGTGGTGACTAGGTTTCTCTCACTATTGGTTTCATCTGTGTTGATGTCCTGGGAGATAGTAACCTGGTTACTTGGTATAATGTCTCTCCTATCTGCAGCCTGTTCTGCTTCACTTGCCTGTGTCATAGAAGTGTATTTTGTCTTCTCGTATACTCTTCTTCACTTATTTGCCCAGTGTGGTGTTTTATAGGTTGTGTTCATCTCCTCGTTTCCCTGTTCATCTCTGCACTGCACTGGTTCATCTTCTGCTTCATCATCCTCCTCGCCCTCCTCTGTCAGCTTCCATCTGTCCATCCAGATACATTACTTTCCTTGTCTCGTCTTGCTTTCTCTTCTTTCTCAACACGGTTATGCAGGTTTCTCCCCACATAACTTTCAATGAGTTCCAGTGTTCGTCCACACAGCTTTCCTCGGGGATGTTGCCTAATGTCTGATGATGATGCCTGATGATTGGCTGACGTGAAGATTTCCTTTGTAGTTTCGTCCTTCAGTTCAGTTTCTGTTCTGGGTGTTCAACTTGAACTGTGGTCTATCACCAGCTCCCTTGAAGGCTTACAACTTGATTTTCAAGGTAGGTTCCTTGCACTAGACACTGAGTGATGTCAACCTACATCTACTCCTCTCCTTCATCTTGTGTCAAGTAGACTGCATCTACACTTTCCACAGATTGAGATTATGTCGATGTGTGTCCATTCTAGTGTGTCCATCTAGTGAAATCAAATCCATGTCGCCTTGTGGATATCCTTGTGCTTGAACACACACACTCTGCCTCACCTCCAATCACCAAATCGTTGAATGCACAGAATTCTGCAAACTATTCTCCATTCTCGTTCATCACCTCACCGAGTGCTTCCTTCTCCACCCATAGTTTATTCTCTTCCTGTGCTCTCCACTTCCAGTTTGGCATTCATGTCACCCATTGGAATTTTGATGTGGCCAACTGGGGTGTGGTCTTGTCCAGTGTTGATTGCATTTGTCTGTAGAACTCCTCCTTCTTCTCTTCATCTGCATTATTTGTAGGTGCGTAGCAGCGTAGCATTCAATGATTGTGACTTTCCTTCCTTTCGAGTTGAACCTTACTTTTATGATCCTGGAGGAGATTGGTTCCCACTGTATGAGAGCCTTCGATCCTCTTGGGGACATCGTGAAACTCAGTGTCCCCATGGTTGTCATCTGGGTGTCAATATCTGAGTAGATTATTGATTCAGCAGTTGACAGTTTGGAGAGTCCACTTCCATTTCATCTACAGACTCTTTGCAGATTCCCAGCACTTCTGTTCCATATGTTCTCATTTCTTTTGTAATCTGGTCAGCCTTGCCAGCCAGCTTCGTCATATCCCGCGAATATATTTGTCCCCATGCTTATTTTTCCTTTCATAGAGAGAAGAGAAGAGATACCAGCGAATTGTTTTCCCGAAGTCTTTCATCAACCGGCGTCATTTCGTCTCCCTGATTACATGGAAGAATAAGTTTATTTTTATTTCTTATATTTTGTTCTGTGCTTTGAAGTTTCTTTAGCAGTCATATTGGTTTTCCGGGATAAGGTTGCTTGCCCTTCAAACCTTCCCTCTTCATCCGGGATTAGGATCGGCTAATAACTAGTAAACTAGTAAACTGGGCGAGGTTATCAACAGTATGATAGTGATAGCTTTTTTCTCAACCTTTCTTTGTTTACAATACAGAAATCAAAGCATGCAGTATGTAAACAACAATAATAAAAAGTTCATCTCATTGGCGATGTTTTCTTAAACAAAGCAAGATTCATTGTTAATAATCATAATAATTTTTTTAAAGCATTGGTAATGGGATCCAGTTTAATCGATAATGCATTTGTTGGAACAGAGTTTACCAGTAGCTTCATTTATATGACTTCCTTCCTGTTTAAAAGTGTGAAGCAAATGTGGGATAGTGGAATTTTGCATCTAGTCGTTAAAACATAAAGTCCGATGGGTGTCCTCCTAGTTTCATATGTGAACAGGCAATGAGAAAGGTGTGAATGAAGAGTAGTTTTGTCATTTGATAAATACCTGCTTCTAACTGTTAAGGTAAATTAAGCATAAATAGAAATCTAAGGTAGAGGGTGAACAACTCTTGGCTTACTTAAAGGAGGTTAGATGGGTATTCTTCTGAAACCAGTAAGTCATATTAGGACGGAGAGAAATAAAAAGGATACACACTAAGATGTATCGTATTTGGTACTTTCCTACAGAACCACCAATAAAAGAGGCGTCACTGGACTAAATTAGTTTGCATCAGTCCTCTCCTTATCTGAATCTAACAGCAATAATGTCATATTTTGATAGATCAGGCTACGGACAATGATTTGATAGGAAGGGGGCAGTGTTTAACAAGAAATGATTTAATTAAGAACAGTTTCATGAAGCGGCGACTCACGTGGAAACTGCCAGGTTTCCAGAAGAATGAAACAAGTTGTGTGGGGCTGTAAAAGACTAGTAATACAGAAGAAAGGAAAAATATAGGGAAAATGGTAATGTTTTTAAGAGTAACAGCTTCTGTAAGTAATAAAGGGAACCATTTGCTTCCATGTACAACATACAGCATCCTTTTAGTGAAATCTGAACATAGTCAGTTTATAACTCAAGACTGAGTATGTTTGGGAAAGCTTGTTCAGTGACATGGGTTTCGGGACACAGTCAGAAGGGCAAGTGTGTTCTAAAAGGACATCTGGTGTACTTGATACCACTATGGAAAATAAGGGCAATATTATGTTCTAAAACAATAGCAGTATTTAAAGATTTTTTCAGCACTTACATACAAACTGGTTCTAATCACCAAAAATCTAAAGTGAAGGTTTGAGCGCACGCAGTGGTAGCTTCTCCACTCTTTTGTTGAGTGAAGTACCGAATTGAAAATGGGGTCTTATATATGCTTTCAGAAAAACTCTAGAATTCTGAGTAAATGTTTTGCTTCCACTAAATGTTAAATCATATTTCAGCACTGATCCGCACTAACTAGTTCAAGGACTGACTTCGAAGTGTTTGTGCACTATAAGAACCATCATTCCAAAAGCCATACTAACCTTAACGTGTTAGTCACTGAAAACGTCTCGACAGAAATGCAAAAGACTCATATGGCGCTTATCCAGTAGTACCTCATATGTTGTTAGTCGGATACTTGATTATCAACGAAAAACTGAGTGTACTATCAAATGGTTCGGTTGTCTTGAAATGACTGTTTTTAAAAAGTTGTAAAATATCCAGGATCTATCAGAAGTTGAATAACTAGCATATTATTGCCTTCTTACCATGCTTCTTTCAATAGTAGAAACAACTTTGTTATCAGTGCAAAGGCTAATTGTTAAGTATTTTTAAAAGCAGGCAAGCTGGCTGGTATATTTATGTGCCCATAAAAAGTGAGATGCTTTGCGTATGTCTTACACGCGCATAAAATCTGCTTGTGCTCAAGGTTAATGTTATGTGGGAAGGATCAGGTTCAAAGAACACTTAAGGTGATCAGCTGAAGATGCAGCACTTATCTTCGAAGATGTTAACTTTTGGCCTAAATAACCTAGGGGAGTGTTGACCTCTTGGTTAGAGTAAAACAGATGTCTAAAATATTTATCTGGATGCTAGTGAGTTCACTCTGTACGCGTTCATACTGCGAACCTCTAGGAACCCTGAAGAAATATACTACTATTGAGCAATTTAAGTAATTAGGAAGCACTCAGGGTGATTTGTTCAGTAGTAATATATTTCACTAGTTCCTAGCACTTTCGTATCAGAGATCACACATTGTGATCTTGAGTGCAAGGCGGTTTCCAATAGAAACCGTATTGACTAGCATCAAAGTTGGGCAGTTGAAAAGCTAATTAGCTGTGAGGAATATGGAAGTACAGCGTGTAGTTTGTAAATCATTTTCAAATTGATCACCTTACTCTAAGGACCATTGCTAAGCCTACTCAACTTGGTCTTTATATATATATATATATACCTTACCTAAAATTTTCCCTTACCTCTACAGTGTTAGATTAAACCGTTGCATTTTTGTTATTTCATTACTCAATATCAATTTAAAAATTATCACTTGTATAACGTGGTGTGAATTAAGTCTAAATAATTAGACGGTTAGAGTATAAGACCTCCAAATGATACATGATACTCATTGTATAAAAGGTGGATTAAATCACTGAATCTAATGATCAAAGGAATAAATTTCTGGTGCATAAACAGACAGATATCTAATTAAATTTCAGAAAAAACACATGCTGAAACCTGTGTACCAAGAATATTAAATAAATTTAATGTTATGCGATACCTTAAGACGCTAATATTTTATGAATTAGTAAAGCATAATTTCATATATAATTATCATCGAAAAAATGGAACATTTCAACTTCTAATAAATTTTATTAGTATTAAATTACCGATTTCTCCTGAAGGTTACATACAAAACAGAAATAGTAAGTCATTAAATCCGAAATCAAATTTTACTCGAAAATAAAGAATAACACATAACTAAACAAATAAGGAAAAACATTCTATACAGAAATGATAAATACATTTCTATCAGTTAATAAATTTTCATTTCACACATCAATTGTCATTGTAGACATCGAGATCCTTTTCATTTGATAAATTTGACAAAAAAAAGAGAATTAACATACAAAAGTCAAATGCATCAAGTGCATTAAAATAAAATACATTTTAACTTTTCTTTGCAAAATATTGAAATCTGAATAGAAAAAAAAGTAGTTTATACTAGCAAAAAAGGTACTGTTCATACTTTAGATAATATGTTAACAAAAGATTACAGAAAACACTTTAGATCAATGCTTGTAGAGACATAAAATCGGAAGGATTGAATATAACAAATATCATTAGTAAAACAGACTAGTGTTAAGTAACATTTGAGTTCCATTTTATTCTGTGTAAATGAATCAATTTAAACAACTGAACTTCCTGATTCTGTTTGGTAATTTCAATTAGGAGAATATTTACATGTTGACGTGCAGATTGTGCTTCAAAGTTGTATATTATACGAAATTATAACTGGTTATACGTTAAACAATAATAACTGAGTAGACAGACAGACAGGCAGAAAAATAATTAGCATGAATGGAACACCGTCATAAGGTGTTATTCATAGACTAAATACTGAAGTGTGTTTGTATCAACTAAACCGCCTTCAGTATTGGATCTAGAATATTTGATTGTTTCAAGAAACGTCCAGATGCTAAATCAGATTCAAATTCAAACAACTGTCCCATGAAAGCGAAATTCGGTGCAATGACTGAACGTCTGGATTTGATAAACTGATAAGCCTCGAATAGTGATAAACTTGAATAAGCCATTACATAAGCAATAATTAATGCTGGCGATCTTGACACACCAGCTTGACAGTGTACAAGTACACATTTGCCTGAACAACGTACTTCTTCTGTAAGGAAAGAGAAGGTAGGCTTAATTCAATAACATGAATATAATATTTGTTTGAATTTCCTTTCCAAGATAGCTAAGTCGTTTGAATAAATAGAGAATCAAAGAAGAATACAGTAACAAGGGAGTGACTATCATAAAAGGTGACTACTAATACTATCAAGCACAGTTCAGTAGAGGGGAAAGAAGTGACATATTTCTGATGAGACATCGTTTCGGAAAAGAATGCCATATAAACGAATTATAAAAATGATAGAACACATATTACTGCTTACTTCTTTTTACCATTATTACATGTCCCTCGGGTTCCTAGTGGAACATAAAGGCCGCAGTAGCACACCTCCATTCCACTCTCTTCTCTTCTCTTCACTCTTTTCAACCTGGCTCCACCAATCCCCACAACCTCTCATTTCTTCTTCTCACCCTCACCTCGGACAACCAACTCGCCGTTCCCCATCTCCGTTCCACTCGACGGCCTCGCATGCCACGTCATGTCCCCCAATCGTCTTCTCAGTGCATGCCCAATACAATCCATATCCACTTCCTTCCACTGCATATTTCTCGGATGAGAGCTTCTCCGTTGGTTCGTTGACAGGCCACAGTCACTTCCTTCCTCATTATTCTCATCATCATTCTGGCCATCTCATCTTCAGTATCGAGTGAGCCTACGTCGCAGTTGTTGATGAATGTCTGTAGTTTGTTGCAAACACCTTTCACAACGTGCCAAGTCTCTCAACCATCACATAGAAGCACTGACTCACTTGACTGAATTAGTGTTCAAAATCCGGATCTTGTTCCACCACATGCTGAGTGCAGTGCAGGAGATCTCCACACTGGTTTCAGGTTAATCAACGCCTGCCTGTCTTGCTTTTCCCATTCTCACTGGCTTTGACGTCTTCATCTATGCCTGTGCCAACTGTAGTTGAAACAATGCTGTCTAGATATGTGAAGCGGGTTACTTACTTCAATTTTCTCCCATTCATGGTGATTCCAGCTTCTTCTTCTTCTTCTTCTTGTTGGTGATGGTGACATTGGTTGGGTATCTTCATCACACATGTCTTCTCTACGTTCACTCAAAGTCCCATCTTTGCCGCCCCACCTTGCCTCTTCTGTCAACTCCTTGCATTTCGCCTGTAGATCTTCACGTTTGTTCCACAAGACATCAGACACAAGTCATCCGCGAAATCCAAATCTCATTCTACAATCTTCTCCCCAGTCCAGCCTGTCCCAACCCCCCCCCCCCCACCTCTTATCACTCCTCACTGTTTTCCTGCATGATCCAATCGACCACACCACTCAGGAATATCATGGGTGATAGTAGACAGCCTTGTTTCACTCCTGTCTGTCTTCACTTCGAAAGCATCACTGAGCTTCCAATTGTGAAATATTTGGCATCTGGTGTCTTCATACAGTTGTTGAGTGAGATCCGGAAATACTAGTCAGTGATTAACAATCAAAAGGCAAAACAAGAAAGCATATTCACGATACAACACATGACAACGCTGACAACTGCAATTGAAAAATTTATGAAGAATATTTTCTTTTGGTAAACGGAAAGTTTAGTCTCTCTTGTACAATTATTAATTGAGCAGTAAGCTGACAGTTCACCGATTTTGAGGATATGCGATCGATCAACACTATTCAGTACAAAACTACCTTTCAGTTGAACTATATTAACCGTAAACAAGCATATAATGTTGATTTCTTCTTCAAGAAATGCAAGAGACAATAGAAGAAATAGGAGAAACTGAAGGGAAATCCACTTCACAAGTAGAATGCATGCAGTTTTTAAAATAGGTGTGATGCAATTCTACGTCATTTCATCAGTATCTATGATATTCTTCCTTATGAACAGCTTCACAGACTGTCATCAGTCTCGACTTTTTCCTTAACACTACATACCATATAAACCGATCTAGTCATACAGATGACAAACATTCATCCTGAATCTCGGTTAGACTGATTTTGCAGGTAACAGACTAGTGCAAGAAGTTTCAAGGAAGTATACTTCGTAAAACCTACTCACTAATGCTTGATATATTATGACATCTAAAAATATTCTAATACATGATGAATGAAGGCACAGTCTAAGGAATAGGCGGTTGGTACATAGGAGAAAGACTTACAAAGGAAGTGACATGTATATCTTCAGATGATGGGGAATATTTATAGCAGTGGAGGATCATTTTGATGATATTGTTATTGATATACTACAGTTAGCTAGTTATGATAATTAACAAAATAGTTTAGCAAATCTATGCTTGAATTCTGAATTACAATGAGCATACATGACTGTGTAATTCGAACATTTTACAGCTGAAAATTAGAGGATTTGAAACACTGATATCACAGGCCTCGACAAGTTTTGCTAGATTATAATCTACGTAAATCATCCAATTGCTTTTCTTATTTATAGTATTCACATGAATTCTATGTTTAGCTTCGTGTTTAGTTTACGAAAAAATAGCCATATTTTTGGCATCACCTTCACTTCTATGAACAATGAGTCATTCTATGTCTGGAATATGGGACTGTTTATCTCATTTTAAGAACAAGTGATTATTAAAACTGACTCAGGCACTATTAATAGAAAAGTAGCAGTTTTACTTCCTTCCATTGGTAGGACAATGAATCATTCCATATGACTCATCTGTTAGAGCAATTCAATGGTCACCCAAGCAAAACGTTCAGACATGACTTTAAATGCATTAGAAGTGGTGCAACATCTCAACTATGTTTGCGTAACGCATGTTGGTATAATTTATGATTACTATGTTACATATTCGTCACAGGGTAACATCAGCTGGAGAAGCACTGAAGACCTTGGATCACTGGACAGCTGTTTCTCCCCGGTAGAGAAACCCAAAGCAGTGGAAACCCATAACGCCACCAGAGATCTAATTCATCATCCTCAGGTTCCACAGTGACCACGTTACAACTGAGCTGCTAGGTCAGAATTCAACATTCCAAATTTCCCTACTTCTGTCAATCCTCGATATAGCGCGACCTCCATCCAATGTCATCACTGAGTACCAGTTCAGTGCTCCTACGTTTTCAAAGGTCTCTCAAATGATGTCAGTCAAGGATGAAAATCAACTTGAAACCAATAAATCCCCACAAACCTCCAGTTTGGGTCATTATGTTGTTGGTGAGTCATGTAACGTTTATTTTAACAGACAAGGTATTGTGAAATGAATATCGTAAAAAACCCTTGCCGAAGGAAAGCAAGCGCTCTACTTATAGTATTAACTTCCAGCTCAAAAAGATTTCTTCAGTAAAACATGGATTTCCCTATTAATAAAAGCTTTATCAAAGCTTATCGAAATCTATCTACTTCAATTTTAGCGTTCATTATCCACTCCAAACATTTTCAGGACACCTGCTATAAGATCTTCGATGTCTGAATGAAATCTGAATTTCATTTTCCTAGCATACGTTAGAATCACTCATGCACAAGTAGTCACCAGGACACTCATTATAATTTATCAAAAGTTTGTTCTCTATCGTTAAAGTCCGTGCCTTTCAAAAACATGGTCAAATGTGATACAAATCGGCTTTGTTTATCCTCAATACACTTCATCTATCCACGCAAATAATGTTTTTCACTGAAACGGTTAAATAGTTTATCAAATGGCAACAGTCAAGATGGTTACAATATTCAACTAATGTTTAGAATGGAATCCATTTTCAGTTCTAAATAAATGTGACCACTTTTTTCTGATAATTAGTGCGTACATAGTCAACCAACGATCGATAACGTACGAGAAAAGTTCTTGCAACGATGTCAGTTAATATCCTTTTTGATGAAGTGAACCTACTAATGGGTTAATATTTTCACGTTTTTAGAGTGTAGACTGTAACTGAGATATAAATAAATACATAAATAAAAGTAATATTCACTCTATGCTCATAGAAATAAATTAAAAACAAAAGGACTGCCAGACATACCAATAAACTGAAATGCTGTATTAAAATATGGTCGTAAATCTTGTGAATGTGAATCTGTTGCAGGAAGACGACGACATTTAAAGCGTTCTTCATCAAGGAATGGTGTGTTCATGGTTACATTCAAAATGCTGTCAATGCCATATTTACTTAAAATCGCTTCATTCTGACTATCGGATTCATTCCCTTTAAATAGAATAAAATGGAAAATAATAAACAAATAAATAAATAATTATTAACTGTATAGTTTGCGGAAAGTAGGTGTGGCTACATATCAACAGAGACTAGTAACAAACAATCCGTAAAAAGGATTCATTATTCTGTCTTTCAGTATTTGTCTATGCATCAAATCATGAGTGTGAATAATAAGCAAACAGTAGACATTAGTTTGTAGTTAGTTTCCACTGCAGTGAAAAGATTAACTGAGTGGATTTCCGCAAACAAAACATGCAGTGTAAACAACCTCCGTATAACCACTATACCCTAAACAGCTTACAAATCTGTTGCTTAGTAGTAGTTAGTAGTCAGCAGTTAGTAGTAGTAGTAGTAGTAGTAGTAGTAGTAGTAGTTACTTTTTATAAACAGAATAGCTCAATTATCACTACTCATCAATTAATGAAAGTGCATCATTCAGCTTGTGTTGTATATCATCTGCTAGTGAGCTTTATTCAGATGCAACAAGGGTGAATAGAAATCAAGTGGAGGTTGAACTTAGAATCGATAGCTTCTGTATCCCTAATTGGTCAGTTGGCTATCTGAGACACAGGACCACAGAGTTAACTGTCTAAAGCCTCTCAAGGAATCATGAGTTATTTTTTAATAAAAATTGAGGAAATTTTGTCTTTGCCTTCCTTTCAACAATTCATTGAATGGTAGGCCTAGATAAATAAAATTTTCAGTGAGGTATAATTCATTGCTACAAAATTATGTGAGCAAGTTGATAAGGAACAGAAAACTGGGAAACACCGACTACTAGTTTTTAGACTCACTGATTAAAATATAACATTCTATGCAAACTATTTCCTATCTTTTAATGATCGTCTATATCTTCATGATACTTTATGTTGCTTTCAGCTTTCGACACTTTACAATCAAAATCTCTTGACAATTCAAAATCTAATGTGATGAGTACTGGGTTCTAGTCTCAGTGGAAACAACACCACTCACTAAAGTGCAGGCAAATCCAGCTGACGAGTCTTAATTAGGATGAAATGTAAGTCTTGGATTCCACTGCTAGTCACCAGGTAGACTATAATATCTGCTTATATATTGTATTACGTAAATACTCTTCTGAGTAACTGTTATTGTGCTGCAACACAATTTCAAAAAGTATCGATGACATGGATTATTTACCTGGGAAAAATATAAGTTGTTAACTACGACTGTTGCGAGTACATTGTTATGTTCAGTTGATGCAGGAAGACGGAGTATATTTCAGACTGCTTCCTGAGAATACTTAGTAAATGCATTACCTTGATAAATAATTCAAATAGTTATCGGTTGAAAATTAGTCATATGAATATGTATGTGCCTTCATAAGAACTACCAGTTTATGAATTTATTCTAGAGATATATCTTGAATAAGGCACTCTTGACTGCCTAACAATACAATCAATGATATGACGCTTAGATATACCATCAAATACTAAATTTTATTTCAGTTTCGTGCTTACCTAGATAAAGAAACGGAAATATTTGACTGGCTTGAGCACGAAATATATCTTTTGGATCACACGGATCACTATCAGCCAAACAGAATCGAGACAGACCCCATTTATCTGAAGACGGATTCGCTGTTTGATTTTTATCATTACTACCAGTCATTGGATCCAGTCGACCCGATAGTTTGATTACATTTGATTGTGTCGCATTTTCTTTCACAGGTGGTCTATGATTAACTGGAATACCCAAACCAGGCAACAATAACTGTGAGTATTTAAGTTCTTGCTTTGTACATTTTGAATTTTCAGTTGAAATATTTGGTGAAAAATTTAATTCTCCTTCTTTGGAACTTTTTGCGTCCGCATACTGGACATTTTCTGATAAACCGCTCTGTTCATTGTCAACTTTTTGAGACTTCTGCAAAGGATGTTCACACAAATGTCCATAGGAGTTACAAAATTCCTGAAAGCCTCCTGTATTGAAGGAATGAATAATGAAATAAGGATTATTTTTAATTAGTGTTATCAGTTAGTTCCTCACATTTATAAAACTCTTCTGATTTGTGTGATTTCCCGTTGATATACTCCGTCGAAACTGCCCGACCTCCATTGTCAGAGGGACTACTAAACGAATGCCTAAATACTGCTTGAATATTCATTATGTTATGGGTTTACTTTGTGGTTATCAGCCGAATCCAGGATGCTTTTTTCGTTCTGTTTGTACTTGTCAGCCGGATACATCTGAATCCCATTGAGCCACTTAGCCTCGAACCTAGTATCCATCACTTCAAACCCAAAACGGCTACCCACTAGGTTACTGAAGCAAATTTATGGTTGATGAACTGATCTTGTTTTTATTTAAACTATATTACTGTGTTTAGAATCAAATGTACTAAGTTATGACAATAAATACAATGTATTTTCAGTCTTTTGCTGTGTAAACAGAAAAAAAAAGGTTTTCATACTCTAACTTCGTAAATTCACAAGTGTCTAGTACCAGATAAGGGTATACTATAATTGCATCTGTTATGCAGTTTAACGATGTCGTGTTTAAAGAAGTGTGAAGTTTCATTAAAAAGCTATATTGTAACTATAATCAGTCATTACCTTTGAAAACAAAGGGAAATTAATAACCTTCAAAACTGTTTTCAAAGTTATGTACGTTCATCTAATCGCCCGAGTATTCAGGTCAAAGTGGATGAAGATGTACTTGAATACTGATTCCCAGATGAATTTAGTATTGTTACTCAAGCGAATCTTCAAGTGGGCAAACGTTTCACTATCGGTCTATCACCACTTATTGAACTTCAAAGAAATTTCGTTATTGTTGAACACAGTTTTCTTAAGAAAATCACGAAATAGGATTTAAGTATTGTAATTATTAGGAGATTTCTGTGATTTCACAATATTGATATAATTCAGTATCGACTATCTTTTGACGATGAACTCAGTATGTCCGCACTTCTACTATATTCCATTTTCTTTTTCTGAAAAATTACTAACTTTGGTTTTATATAAGTAGTCAGATGTCTATCTGCCTACCTGTCTATCTATCTATCTATCTATCTATCTATCTGTCTGTTTATCTAGTAAACCGATCATTGTACAGTTCAAATAACAATCTGTTTTGGGTAGTGACAAGAACCTGACTGTTTGTTTTAATGTTTAACCGACTGATATGCATTATTCCTACTGCGAATGTTAATAGTATCGGTAAATTTGCTTTCAATTGCAAATTAAAATTAGTCCTGTCATTTGTCTACTTCATCAACTTTATTGAACATGTGTAATTAAAATGTTAACTCGTCACTGATACGTAATTGTCATTGAGATGGATTTCAGGGAAAATTAACCATTTTATCCTGTTTTGAGTAACTAAAACGAAAGTATGTAAACCGTAGGATCCCAACTAAGTGACTGACTAGTTATACATTCATTAAAGTATCTCAATATCAGGTTTGAAAAGTCTCAGACTAGGATGACAGAGTCAACACTATTCTATGCTGGTCGTACAAGGAGTGTCTTCTGGATAGCTGTCTGTCTTTTGGAGTGATTGTTCCTAGATTCGAAAGCAGTATGGCATGTGACTCGGAACCGTAAATGAATCGTGAACGGGAAATCAAATTAACAATGAAAACTATCACAATGTAGGTGGTAATATAGTTGTAGCTGTAAAATAAACACTCATGAAATTAGGACTGTTTCTTTATTGATGTGAAACAATATTACAATAAAAAAAAAGATTGCCAAAGCTGAAGAGAATCTCACATCTTAAGACTGCTAGGGGTGACGTTAATCAAATTAGTAATCCACTGATTTACTAAATAAACAAACGAACTGTATAATGTCACGTGTCGCATACCTGAACTATGAAACCATAGATAGACTTCATACAAAGTGATATTTTAGTTGTGTAATAACGTGTTTTTCGAAAATTTAGGAAAAATTAAATGTAGTTTACTTTTGTTGAGAACAGACATGAATCATACAACCTATCCACGACAAAAAAAGCTGAATGCACGTTTCAGAAGTGATACTGAATGTACCATGATGATATTGTGTAACAGTTATTTTACGTCATAGATTTAGTAGTTCAATTTTGTAGGTTTGACGGGACTTATTGATTTTAAGCTGGTATTTATCACAGAATGACATCAGTTGGGGAGTCATTGAAAACCTGTGAGCACCGAACAGCTGTTTCATCTTAGAGCGGGACTACTCAACAGTGTGCGCCCTTGACCTTAAGGTTCTGCAGCGAGAATGTTGCGAACTTGAAATCAATAAATCCCTAAAATCTTCCAAATTGAATTACTGTCCAGTGATCACTATTGAGAATTCATGTCAGTGGGGCAAACCAAGTTGGATGTGGGGACACATACTCAAGGATGGCATTAGATGGTTGCGCAGTACCACGAACTGATAGAAGTAAAAACATGCGAACCAACAAGTTCCAACGTTATGGCCAAACGGTAACGTGGTGGTCGTGGGACCTGAAGGTCCTGAGTTCGGTCCATATTGCAGTTATGAGTACGCATTGTTGAGTAGTCCCATACTAAGACTAAACAGTTGCCCAATGCTCCCAAGTTTCCAGTGGTTCTCCAACTGATTCCAGTTCGTGATAAATACCAACTTGAAGCTTAGAAGTGCTTTAAAAGTACTAATCACTGCGTTTTCAGTAAATAAAAGGTTCAAAGAGTTTATACAGTCCGAGAGTAAAAAGTAGTATACTTTCCAAGGACTGCAATGCAGCATACACTGATGTAATTTGAAAAATAAATGCTTATTACATAACGGGTAAATTTTACTACTGAGCTCCTTAAACTTCACCGAACAAAGCTAGGATATCTAGGCTTCTTGGCACTGAAAAGCTGAAAATGCTTTTCAGCCAGCGTAATATTATTAAGAAAAATGCAGTTATAGTACTAATTAATAAAGTTTTTCTCATAAATTTTAGTACCTTACATGTTGCTGATTCACAAAGAACAAATTAACATACAACAATTAAAATGAAACATTGCCAGTCACGTGATAAAAAAAATCAATAGCCAGCCTTTCTTAAAATAAACACCTTTATTACTAAAATAAGTAGGTAAGTTGAATGTTCATGCATTGTCTAAACGAATGCCTTAACTCACACAACAATATGAGAGTCAATAAAAAAAGTAGTAATGTTGAAATTATCTTTAACCCTGTTAAAGCCTCTGAATATTAATGTAAATCTAGGTGAGAACAAAACAACTTCCGACAGAAAATTCACTGAAATGAGTAGACGACAATATAGCGAAAGGAGCACATAGGAATTTCATTGTGTTATGGGCAATAAAATCATGTTTTCTCAATACATGCATATACAAAAGAATAGTGTGGCGAATTTGCGCCTACCTGAAAGTCTTCCTTCAGTCTACCTAGCTTAGAATTTATTACATACAAAGGACTTTACTATTGTCCCTCTCTTTCCAGCATTTTCATGAGAACTATAAGGATTTTTCCTTAAATGTCTTGATAAGTATTGACTGGCAGAAAGTAGATGCAACATACTTGTATATTATTGAAAATTGTAATAAAATAGAATTGTTTACCTTTAAGTACTCGAGCATCTAAACCATGAACATCGGCGAGATGTTTAACAAGGCAATGAAGAAGATCTTTCAGAAGAGGATATTCGTTTATTCCAGAATCAGTACAAATGATTATTGAGTGATTATGTAGTTGGTAACTTTTGACATTGTGAGTATTATAGCATTGTTTTCTTTCACGTAGAAAGTTATTTAGCATTGGTAATGCACGTCGTAACTTTACCCGAGATTCACAGGGTATACCGATTGCAGTTTGAATACGTAAATTAGCTTGAGCAGCTAAACTTCGAATATCCAGTATAAGTGGTACACAGAGTGTACATGTATACTTTGAAGTTAGCAATGACGCTAGTTCTGCACAGTCAATGAAATTTATTCCTGGAACGGTGGAATCACTGGAAGCATGGTTACTTCTGGAAGAACGATTAACTTCAATCGGTGAAAGAACTTCGACTGCATTCGATGACACAGGACTGCTAGGTGAATCATCGTGCACTGATGCAAACTTAAGACGCTTCACTTCATTTTTATATTCTAGAATCACTTCAGCACTTTCATTAACTGATGATTGTCTAAATGCTCTTTTTTGACTAGTATTATTTGACAGATGACTCATGGATGATAGAGTTAGAGATACTTCTTGAAATGCAGCTTTCTGCCATTGAATAATGGTCATTTTAAGTGGGTGATAAACCCACTTGGCCTGACTAAGAGCTTGTGGGTCATCGACGTTTGTATGACGAGCAAATACCAGGTTTTATTTACTGTATCTGAAGGTCAAATTTTTGAAACCAATAAATAACCAGATTTCATATTAATATCCTGAATGTTAATTGGTTAAAATATCCTTTCGTATGATTGGCGTTATTTTTTTAGTGACAGATATGAGTGTAACCTTCACAGTCACGTGAATAAACTTGCTTCGGCTGAGCTGTACCGCGATTTTAATTTGTGACTTTGAATTTTAAGCTTGGTGAATAATGACTAAAATTCTTCTAATATTTTTCAGGAAAATGTACACCCCAATAGTGAGTGATATTTTCACTTTTATACGAAATCCAAAAGTGGACAAATCTTTAGGTACAAAGTACATTGTCTACAATTTCTCTAGTAAGAATAATTTTACTAAAAGCATTTTGACTTTGTTGATTTCATTGATATAAGTGTAAAACTTGGGCACTGTGGTCTAGTGTAATTCCATTTTAGTCTGTTTATTAGAAATATCTCAGTGAAACTAGAATTTACTGGTAAATGCTGCTGTTTCACTGTGTGATATTTTTAATAAACAGAGTAAAATGGAATTTGTTGATTTCAAATTTAGAATTCAAGCTAATGGATAGTGAATAAATAAAATGTTCAAATCGACTCCAAGCTCATTGATCGAAATCCCTGACTGATAATCAGTATTGTTGATTTGAACTCGGGTGAAACGTGGTTAGATCTTATCTCCCTAGTATTCCAAAAATCTTTTTTATATTCTCTTCAGGTACAATATTTCTGAATTTATTTGGTAGCTTACCGTGCTTTCCTAGATGCGATGAGTGTTCAGAAATTCATCTGATGACTCTCTGAAAGCACTCATCAAATATTAGATTATTGATTTAATAAAATACACAATAGAGCAGTTTCATTTACTCAGTGATGTCTCAAGCAGAATTTATTGGACCTCATCAAAGCAAAGTAGGCACCATACTCTTAAATTTCAACAGTTCCTCATTCTTTCATCTTGATGACAGTAAAACTTTCCGAATATCTGCACTGTGCGATGAATCCTTCCTGTTACATGTACTATTTGTTTAGTAAATGAACAAAGATTCCGTAATCAATCTGCATAAAGAGGAATTACAAGTATGTCAACTAATAGTAATAACAATCTCCACTACTCTCGGCTATATTGGATTTCAGAAGTTTATCGTATGACGATGGATCAGTTCATGCGGAACGATAACCCAATCAACTACAGATTACTTATCTTGTTAAGGCTGATCATATTGTGTTTCACTAAAAATTCTTCCCACACTATCCTGACCGACTTCACTCGGCTGCTTAGATCTCTGTATTTGATTGGTTAGATCTGTTCGGAAACAAAGTTTCTGTTTGACTGTGTGGGGTTAAATCCCATCTTAATACCAGAATTGTTAAAAAACCTACTTAGACTTTTGATCACATATTCTCTGTAAGGTGACACTGGAGAAAAACTGAGTTCTGTTTACAGAATGCTGTATTATTATTATTTGTTCCTTGGGCTCCTAATGGAACATAGGGATTCAGTAGCACGTATCCATTGCACTCTCTTCTCCACAGTCTTTTCAACCTGCCTCCACCACTCCCAACAACCTCTCATTCCATCCTCACATGATCTCCTCCATCTCACTCTCGGACGCCCAACTCGTCGTTTCCCATCTCGGTTCCACTCGACGGCCTCGCATGGCATGTGATGTCCCCAGTTGGCCTTCTCAGTGTATGCCCAACCCAATCCAATCCATCTCCACTTCCTTCCATTGCATATTTGCTGAGCGATGGGTTCCTGGTTGGTTTGGTGCCAGCCAGAGTGAGTTCCTTGTTGCTTATTGTTTCTGGTCATCCATCTCATCACAGAGAAGCACTGACTTGACATTGGTGTTAAAAATCTGGATCTTGTTGACGCTTTATGCTGAGTGAAGTAGATCTCCACACTGATTTCAAACTAATGAAGACCCGTCTTGCTTTTCGGATCCTGGCCTTGACATCCTCGTCTGTACCTGTGCCGCCTGTAGTTGAAGCGATGCTGCCTGGACAGGTAGGTGAAAGAGACAACTTCCTTTAGGTTTCTCCTGTTGATGGTGATTGGTGCTTGTTGTTGATGCTGTTGTTAGTTGGGTATCAGCATCACGTCCATCTTCTCTACATTCACTTGAAGTCCCGTTTTCGATGCTTTTCCAGTCAACTTGTTGGTTTTCGCCTGTAGATCTTCGAGTTTGTGCAACAACACACTAGACATAAATCATCGTTGGCGAAATCCAGATCTTCTAGGCTGTTTTCATTGGTTCAGCGTATGCCCATCTTCTCGCTCCTCTCTGTTTGCTGCATGATGCAGTCGACCACAATCAGGAATATCATGGGTGATAGTAGGCAGCCTTGTCTTACTCCTGTCTTTACTTCAAAGGGTTGCTAGCCCTACGCCCAACTTTCCCTCTTTACCTGGGCTTAGAACTGGCTAGTAACTAGTGAACTAGTTAACCAGGTTGTATTCACCAGTAATGTACTTCACTCCCCCTCTCTCTTATGCGTCTTTATTAACCTTTTGGTAAACTGCAGAGTGTAGTAACTAAGTAGTAACATCTCTTGAATATATTTGAGTTCCTTGTTTCGACTTTATGATCTACTAGTCAGACTCTTTGCTCGACTATGTAGGTATTTTACTAAGCCTATCTTGACAGACATAGGGTGAGACGATTTGAAATCCAAGTATGCCTTCTAGTTTTTTGATTACTCGTTAATCTCTATTAGCCTCCAAATGAAAAAAACAACATAGACAATATATCAGTGAGTCGGTGGAATATTAGGTCTATGAAGAAGCTCAAAACAAGAGATTATTGACTCAAAACTCATATTGGTGGGCTTTCCTACGTCAATACATGTTTGTTCAATTTCTCATTAGGATTCCCGCAATATTTCTTCTCGAATACTGATTGTAATAATCCTTTTTTACTGTGCATATGTAGGACTACTGAAAATAATTCGTTGAAAAAAAAATTTTGTTCATTAAATTATTTTATGCGTATTTAAGTGTATCGGTGGGCTTATTTGCCCATCAAGAGAAGAAAAAGTGGTCTGTGACATTAAAGCAGGTCAATAAGTTTCTATGGTTTTTTGTCAAAATTGGGACAACAATTGCGTGGGTCACTTTGATTTATGACTGTCGTGGTTGGTGGAGTGTTTCTAAAGTCGTAGTCCATGACGGACAAGCGGAATACGTCGATTCAGTAATGCGTTCAAGTTTATAAAACTAGAGCTTCGCCTTCATCAAAATGTGTACACTTATTTTCACTTGTTCTAAATATTCAGCACATCTCTCCTACGCTTGTTTATTTTCTTAGATTTTCTTTTTTTCCTGGGGTTTATGACTCAGCGATACAATTTTCAAACGGAGAACTCTCAAGTTTAACTAAGACAAAGTATTCCTCAATGCTGCTCTACAGATTTATACCCATTACTTTATTCTTCGTACTGAAGAGATTTCGAAGCAGCATAAAAAACTCGTGCTAAGCTGAGGCGCATCAGTAATGGGTCTACCAGATAGTTACTGGTAAAATATGTTTCTGCTGTAGATGTGCACACAAACTTAATAGTGAACAGTCTGTTCGAAGCATACATAGTGTTTTAAGTAACTGATGGTTAGCTTAATAGTATATTCCTTTGCATTCAGGCTATACCTGAATGAAATCGTAAGTAACCGAAACAAAGCGGAAAGCCTAGTTAGGTAGACGATTTAAGGTAGAAAACTGTTTTAAATCAACTGGCCAAATAAGTGTTTTTATAAATTTCAGACGTAATTTACATATATTCCTTGGTGACTTATGTCAGACATTTGACCAAAAGTTAGTTATTATATCGACTGCAATAACGAATAAAAAATACATGGATTCATAGTTATTTAACACGTTCCTTTACTGACCTTGCGTACCGACTACCAGTGGGTAACTGGTTTAGCCGTCTATTTCCTAGTGCTCAACACAAACTGAAATCTGTGAACTAAGTTCGTTATGCGGTTAGCAAGCAAGGTGAGATGACTTTGTGATGCACAGTATTCTGATGTTAGATTTTGTGGCGTGTATCGACAGGAATCTGTGAACCCCCAAAAGATGATAGGAAACCCTTTCAAGCTAATCGCTAATCTCTAAAATAAATAATAAGCTGAATATGAGGAAGAATATACACACCCAATTCAAGGGAAACGTAACAAAAACTAATGATGGTTAACGGATAACGGTGGAATCCAGGATGCATATTTCTTCCTATTCGGGACTTGTCAGCCGAATATACGTTGTCCTCATTGAGTGATGTTGCTCCCACTGAGATTGGGACACAGAACTCATCGCTTGAAATGCTGGAGTGTTATCCCCTAGCCTACTTAACTACAACAGTCACTGCTTGAAGTAAAAGTAAAGTCTGACATTATAGCACTCATAAGCTATTTGTGATATGTACAGGAATAAATTGTCCATTCCTTTTAATTGTAACAGGATAAAACCCAAGCAATTATTCCCTGTAAGTTAACTACAGCAATGAAGAAAGTGATGAATCTCTTGAAAATTCTCAAAATTAAATTCTTGACACTTCAGTAATTCAAAGTATTTGTCTGGTTTTACTAAAAGGCTAATAACAGCTTCACTCATCAAAAAACCGTTAGTCTGATTTCTTAAGCTCATATCTAAAGTTTATGACGCTCTGTTCACTGTTTTAACTGACTGTCATAAAGATCACTGGATTAGTAATTATTTTTACACTGCGTTGTTATCATCATATAGTGAAATGTTTTTTTTCATATAACGAGAAAAGTATGTGAATACTATGATGACTGTAAAATGAATGAATGATAATCGAGTGAGATATGCAATAATAAGTAATCTTATCTGTCAGCATACAGATAATAAGCACAGTTGGACAACAACGATGAACATTTTAACCGCTTCATGATTCAATCTGAGGTCATGCAATTATATAAAACATTTGATTCGTTATACATTAGTGGGTCAAATGAGTCATTTAAGT